CCTAACTTATCTAGTAAGTTTTTAAAATTAATTTTAATAGTAATGCTTATATCCTCATTGAGCATTGTGTTACATTAATTGCTCTGAGCTTTTTTTTTTCCTTAAAAGCATTAAGTATCTACGGTGAAACACCAACAGTTTATTGATCCTCAGTTATTTGACCTATATACAGGACAATGGATTGAAAACTTTACAATTGTGATGCCTAAGATACAGGCTGAATCAATATTCAGCATGACAGAAGGAATTTGGTCAAGGAAAGACATGTTGGAGAGCTAGAAATCCTCTCTGAATAGGTATCCAAGACAAGGTTCCTAAATCTTTTGTCCTTAACTTCCTAGGCAGTTATTTGCTTCCCCTTTTCCCTAGATATTTGTTACTACATTATTTTCTGTATTTTAAAACTTTTCTTTCAGTAGTAGTAGATGTTTCCAAATGGACAGGAGACTCTCTCTCTCTCTTAGCATTCCTTCTCTAATATCAGTTGAAGGCAATCTAAAAACCAGTCATCGCCTCTCTTGCTTCTCATTTACTGTAACGTCCTCCCACATACTCTGAGAAATCTCTTCACAAAAATTGTATACTTTTCAGATATTCTTAAGAATCAGGAAATTGCACTGTATGAGTTTCTCATTCCCTTTTTTAATGTCTTCAGTGACTTCTCTTTCCTAATTTATAATGCAAAGTGATCTAGTCTTCACTGTATGATCCTCATTAAGCTACTAAACCAAGCCTTTTTATTCTCATATACTGCTAATGCATTAACTGCCATTTCTATTATGACAATAATACTAACCTCAATTTCTACTTCTTGTATTTAAAAAAAAACAAAACCACCATATTGTCCTGTCTTCTATCCAGCCTCCTATTTTTGAAAAGACAGACAACCACAGAACTGTTTTACTGTCTTACTTCAAATCTCACCATGGAAGTCTTGACAGCTCAAGCATTTAGTATGAGTGCCATAAAAGTAGATTTTTTGCAACTATTTTCTTGTACTCTACTCTGATGTATCCTGTTTTCACTAATTTTCACCAAGTACATTACATTTTTGTGCATCTACTGCTGTTGTCCTGGATGAACAAAATAGTTTAGCCACTCACCTCCCGTGAGCTGACATGATGTTGTGCTTTAAAAATGCATTTTGGCAAATCTCTGAGCCTGTTGTTCATTCAGTTTCTTGCCCTCTGAGTTAGCTAGATATTTCTGGCAACCAGTCTATGTCTTGAATTATTTTGTATACACAGCTACGTATAATATCTGAAATAAAGCCTAGCTGCATAACCTCATCTTCTCATGCAGTAATTGATGCCTTTCAACTTAATACATGCAAAGAGATCATACAGAAATTGCATTATGAAAAAGCCTCTTGGACATGGAAAAATGTTTTATACTTGCTGAACACTTAAGTTTTTTGTTAAGGAAGGTTTGGTCACACCAGATTAAGTATGTGACCTGAAATCAGTTCTTTAATCACCCCATGCAAAGCTGGACATTTGTGTCATTTCTCTATCTTCATTTTCCACCTATTCTTCTCAGTAGAAGCTGGGGAAATGCACTAAGCTACGTACCAAAGTGCACATGCTGCCTAACTGTGTTTGTATATCCTGCTATATGCATTGCCTGATAATCCATTCACGGGTATGATGTCACTTATTTAGTTTTCATAGCAACTTGGAAAATACCTTGCAGAGAATGAAGAGATGGTAATGAAAATGAGGCATGGGTTGCTTTTTTGAAAAATCATTTTGAATGAACAGGACAGCATACATCTCAGAGAGATCATATTCCTTTACAAAAACAGATCAAAACTACCTCGAGTCCCTTCCCACTTCGATGCCACTGTGTTCTATAAGGAACAGTGCAGCATAAGTAATGGACTAAGTAAATGGAGGGAAATGGAAGAGAAAGCACCACAGACATGAAAGAAAAGCAAAAAAACCAGACATTTTGCTAGTGATTTCAGATAATAGTTGTTTGTGATATTTTTTGAGTCTAACTAATGTATTGGATAAGAACTCCTTAGGGCAAGTGTTAGTGTACATTTCATTTTGATGAAAAAAATCATAAATGTGGTAAGATTCGGTTTAACTCTACCATTGAATAATGCAACCTCACATTTTCTTAAACAAACATACCAACTTAAATCAACATATCAGTACACAAAGAACAAGGTACCCAAAGCATATACTCAATCTTCTGTAAACTGGCCATTTAGGAAGACAGATCCTTTATAGTACGCTACTGCCTGCTGTGACAGTTCTTCCAACTTTTTATGTGAACTTGGGTACTTTTCTGCCTTAAGGATGGGTTATCTGAAAAGGTGGACCATTGAAACACTGACAGATGGAATTCCTCATGCTTTTAAGAAAGTTTTCCTGAAAATTGAAGGAAAGGTTCAAAAACTGTCAATTTATGAACCACAGAAGCAAAATATTTCATAACTACCTCCCCACCCGGGTTTCACCAAGAAGACTGAGATACTGACTCTGGATTTCTAACATGGCAAATGTCTACAAGGAGCTTTTTCCTATGGGCAATGTTTTGTCCTTATTGTAAACTTGGGGCAGTAAAGGACTATGTTCCAACAAATTTCTTAAGAGTACGTGTAGTGAGTTGGCAACAAATCCAGCGCAGTTTGAATGAGAAGAGCGCACATATTCCTTACAGTCAAGCTAACTTTGCTGCCTGCAGGGGTAAGTCACAGAGCCATCCTTCTATTACTTCTGCCTGGTTTTGGAGGATTGGTACATACTGTTTTAGCTAGGAACACTGTGTCTGATTTCAAATATATTTTTCCAAATTTACTGGTATCAATGTGGAACCTTTTTTTCTGCCATCTTGCAAGACGTGTCATTTAGATTCTTGAATGGAATAATGGAAAGAGCCTGTTCAGCAACAAAAACAGGTTAGAACCCTAGGTTAGTTTATCACAAGACTTCTACACAATTTCAATCTATGATACCCAGGACTACATTCAACCAAGCTGATCTTTGGGATACAGACTTATAAGCTTTGTTTTATGGAAACAGTGTGTGCACTCAGATTTTAAAACATTCCAGAATCTCTAAAGAGTCCAGATTGTTCTTAATATTCATGCCAAACTATCAACAATTTAAGAAATGGTTGCCAAAGGTCATTCCAGCTACAGCTGTTTGGAAATGCAAAGGGCTTTATTGATCTTTTCCTTTGCATAGCTCTTTAAAAAAATATTATTACATCAGAGAAATAAAGACCATGGCAGATGTTGATAATGACTTGGTCACAGGGGGTGGAGGAGAACAGGAAGGGGGGGGACTAACCAGGATTGGTTTGAGGTGAAAGACTCCACTACAATGCCATTGTTAGGTCCCTGTGTGGTAATACTGCTCTCATGATGTGACTTTGACTGGCACTGTACTTGTCTCCCAACAAATTAGGGAAGCTGGCTCAGCTGGTTGGGAAAGAAATCATTAGGCATGGCACTTTAGGTGGCACAAATTTCACAGCTCCAAAGCAATCTGGAGTCCTCCCAGAAACATGGGTATCATATTCAAACAACTCACTAACCCCAGAGGCCAGCTCTGACTGCTCTTATGAAGTACTGTGAATCATGATCTTTAGGAAAACTAAATGGCTGAGATCCAATTTAGCAGCTGGATTATATTAGTTCACATTTTTAAGGACAAAGGTTATAATAACAAGATCTTGCATTACCCAATTGACTCAATTTACTCAATTAGGTAACATAGTTACCTTAATGGTTCTATAGTAGTTTGCTGGTGTTAGGAACAATGTAATTTCTTTCTTCTAGGTAATACAAAAGAGCAGAATTTCATAGATGAAGGCAGACTAGTAGAAAATAGGTAGTTGGGATAAGAGAGAAGGCATGGTAGGTACACTGTTGCTGAGAAGCTAGGAGAAATGACAACAGACATTATAGAGATGCAGTCTGAGCCAGAGTACTTCAGGGCCTTGAAAGCATAAGCAAGAAGTTTAAACCTGATATACCAGGCAAAAGAAAACAGAGAACACAAAAGACAAGTGTGTGTGTTAATACACACATGCACTTGCATGATGTACATGTTTAGAGAACTTAGAACTGAAATAATGGAATTTTTCTGCCTGCCCAACACTCCACAACATTGCATTTTCTATGGGATAACATTTGTGAATCTCATAACAGGCTATCGAGCAAGAAAATTTATTTCAGCTTTCAGACTGTTAAGGTTGCTCTTATTTCTACTGTACAGTGATATACCTTGGTATTGAGAAATTTTAGTTGCATACAGTTCACACTAATGTAGCAGACACAATCTGGCTTATAAACTGTAAAAGTGGTTAAATACATTTTAAGATATAAGCTACTTCATCCACAGACCTGCAAGTTTCTAGAAAGCACTTACCTTGATATGTCTAAAACCCGTAACATTTAATGGATGATTTTTCATGCAAATAGATTCTGCTTAGTAGCAGAATAAGAGGTAGAAGGCTGGTGGACTGTTTTGAAGTGTGAAAAAGGGCCCTATGTTTGTTTTCTTCGAGGCTGAACTCTTAATTCCTCACCCTGCTGCTCATGCAACTTGGGCCAACCAAAACTCACACAGCCTGAAGAGTTGCCAAGAGCCCTTATCAAAGCTTGTAGCAGCTTCTCACGCGATTTATGGAGTCTCAAATACTCTAATACACACACACGCATATCTCCCCCTCCACCGAGCAGAGCTGTAGCTGCTGTAGGACCCGTTCTTCGGGAGACACAGCGAACCGATCCTCTCCGGAAAGCCCGGGAGCGAGAAGAGGGCATGAATCTGGTCTTCACTCTGGCTCTTGATCTCTGGGGTTCATCCAGGCACTCGGGAGAACGATTTAACGACCCGCTCCGCCCCTACTCCCCCCGCCCAGGCAGCTCCGGGCGGCTCTCGGTCACACGAGAAGGGAGCGGGGGGGAATGAGCCGCAGCGGCGGCAGCAGGAGGGGGAGGAGGAAAGGAGGGAGGGCAGGAGGGAGGGAGAAAGGAAAGCGGGCAGGTGACACCGCGCTGGGTTGCTCGGGCTCGGCGGGCGCGGGGCGGGCGGCAGGAGCGCGGCGGCCATGCACGTCAATGGGAAGGTGGCTCTGGTCACCGGCGGGGCGCAGGGCATCGGACGGGCTTTCGTACAGGCGCTGCTGGGCAAGGGCGCCAAGGTAAGTGTCGGGAAGCGCGCCATCCCTCCCCTTCCCTCCCCTCCCCTCTGCCTCCAGCCAGCACCCACGGGCGCGAGGTGGCGGCAGCCCCCGGGGCTCGGCTCGGCGGGGACCCGTCTGTCTGTCCATCCGCCTGCCCGCCACTCGTTTTCCTCCCTTCCCGCTCAGGTAGCTCTCCTGGACCGCAACTCCGAGGCCGGACAGGAGAGCAAGGCGGCCCTGGACGAACAGTTTGAAGCGCAAAGGACGGTGTTCATCCAGTGTGACGTGACGGATCAGGAGCAGCTGAAAGGTAGGGAAATTCAGTGCTGCGCTCCGGTGTAAAGCGCAGCGACCGGAGTGAGCCCGGGCTGCCGCACCGGTAAGAGTGCAGCGAGAGGTTCTGGGGGACAGCCTGCTCCCGATCGCTTCTGACAGTGACTCAAAAAGGATTTATTTCCGAACCTGCGAATGTGAAATATTACTACCAGCATTACTACCATAATTTCACCCTTTTGCTTCGGACATGGGAAAGAAAAGCCAAAGAAATCCTTTGTATTGAGTTTTGTGTGTGATATTTTGCATTAAACCCTCTGTAGAAGATAATTGTTATTTTATGAGTAATATATATAAACTTTAAAGCTCAGACTTGGTTTTTATGAGGTTTCAGTACAGATTCCAAGCTGCATTCCCTCGTAATAAATTCTGAGCTGGGTTGCAGTGCTCCTTCCATCCAGCACACTTACTTTCATTGCATGCTGTCACAGTTGGAAGCAGAACTGCCACAGTTGAAAGCAAAAAAATAGCATGCTACTGTACTGTGATGTTACCTATGGGGTGATAACACCTCACACACATTTTGCAGATGCAGGGAATGCAAGGAGCTTCCCTCATGAATCATTTGCATTTCTGTTTTCACTTAGTGAAACAGTGTTCCCTAATGAGTTCCTAGAATATCATATAATGTTGATGCACCCTTCACAATATTTCATAACAAGCACATCACTTCATCAAAGGTTCATTATTAAATGATACAATCATAGGTAGTGACTCAGATTCAGATTTTGACATCCCTTTTTTCAGCACTCTTTCCCCAGATTAATTTCTGCCAAACTAGATGTGAATATTTTTAGTTCTGTTTTTGTTCGCTAAACTTTACTGGTCACTTTCTCAAGAGTGGTCATTGAGCATATCCATTCCTCTTTTAGAAATCATTACAGTTATTCCAGAATTCAGCAATATTGTTTACAGTTCCAAGCTAGCATGACTATGCCTAAGTCCATAGCTTTACAGTGTCTGCCTGTAAGAGAGATGTTGGACTTTAAATATGAGATCTTCTCTAATTGGCAAACAAAGTCTTTATCAGCTAGGTTGATTATTGACTGTTTCTCCAAGTGGGAGGAGTAACCTAGGAGCAAGAAAAGGCATCCTAGGGGTAGGAGTAACATCTGCTGTAGCATGGGTGTTACCCCAGTGTGCCTTCTCTCCCACAGTTCCTTCTTTCTTTAGTGCCAGGGTAGTGCAGGACCAACAGGGTGTGAACTGGGAGCTGGAGTGAGCAATATGGGTCAGCAAGGGAGGTGTTAGAACCAAATTACTAGGAAAAGAGTAGGATTGGAAGGGGTTCTCACAAACAGAAAGAGCAGCTGTTGCATATGCTTCTCTGATAATCGTATTAATCCTGCTGTACATTTCTTACCATAAAGTTGCAATCATGTCTTACAGTCTTTTGGAGTTTCTGTGTTGTTTTTGGTGTTGTTTGGGGTTTTTTTGACTGCTTTATTTTCAATTTTTTCACTTGTAATTGTATGCTACTGCTTAATGAATTTAGATTAATTTCAAACCTAATGTTTAAAGGTCTTATGGGATGAATCAATCCTGTATTTTATGTTAAAGGTCATGTGCATGAATGCAGTTCCTCTTTTTATAACTTTAGCCCTTATAGTAGGAAACAAGTCCCCAATACTAGAACTAGTATCTGTAGGTACACAAGGCTTATGGGTAGGAAATCAGCTGCTTCATCTACTTTCAAGTCTTAACTGTACTCTTTTCTCTGGTGGTTCTTTCACACAGTCTCCCATAAAAATCTTCTATTTTATCCTACTTTTGAAAAATCACCATACATTTACTTTTGCTTTCCAAGGATATCTAGGAAGCTCCTCTATAACTGCTGTTTGTGCTTGCTTTCCTCTGTTTTTCTTACCTTTCCTTTAAAATGAAAACTCCTCTTCATTTTTGCTTCTTCACTCAATGTTTCATATGATCATCTGCTTTTAATTTTTATGGTTCCATAAGCACTAATTAGCGTGCAATGTAAAGGAATTTTTCTACATTTGAAAAGGCAAAAACAAGTCAGCTGATACTGATGTATGAGTGAAAACTTTATTAAGAATTTACAGTGAGTTTCTTCTTTTTGGGGATAGGTAAGAGATGGGATTACTGTAGACAAACTTTTACCAGAAATATTCTAAACATAGATATGAAAACAGCTGAAAAACATTTGGCTCTCTTCTCAATGTGTAAACTAGAAAACTACAGTTAGTCCGTGAATCTAATAAACAAATAATTAGCAAAATTACTATTATCCATGGTGGGTTTTGAAGGCAAAAGATTCTATTAAGAATCAGGTTGATGAAAGATGTTATTTAGAGAAGGCCTAAAAGGGAATCAGCCAGTTACCAAAATTTGGAAGTTAATTGAGGACCCAAACGGTATTTATTTTACTCATTGAAACTAAGTTAAATACTCAGTTCTGCTCGTAATAAAGCCAAAGGTTTCCATTTACCCTTGTTGATGCAGGATTGGTGAGAGAAGAAGTGATTAAAGAGTTAAGTTGAGAAAAGAGAGAAAGAATTAGCAACAAACATAAGAAAAGCCAAAAAGGCAGAGAGCCAAAACTAGAGGATTTAGCAATATTACAATATTCTAGTATGGAATAAGAATATTAGAAAAATTGGTACAATAAAGGCAGTTGGACAAATAAAACCTTTTCCATCAGCTGCCTAGCTCTTGTTTTGATGTCAAGAACATGATGGACCTGTAGGATTCAGGCAAAGAAAAGGCTGTAACAGTACTGATCATATGGTACAAGAAAAAACTTTGTAAATCCCTTCAACTGCTGTAAAAATATGTAGGTGTCTGAAAGCTGCTGCTATGCTCCTGAATAGCCAAATACTAAAGGTCAGAGAATAAAGATGTTCCTGGGATCATCTTTCAGTAAAATAGTTTCATTAAGACCTATCAAGCATAATTTTACTGTAGATATTCAGTCAGTCATCAAACAATGTTTTTTAAAATAATACTGTGCAGGTGGTGTCTTGGTTTACATAATAATAAATATTTGGTGATAAGGATCAATATTTGGAGAGAAAACCAAACAAGCTATATGTACATGTCAGATAATGTCTTTAGTCCTGGAAAATCTTAGTTTGAAATGAACATCTGGAAGTCATCTCATTTAACTACTTTGTCAAAGCAGAGGCAGGCTTGATGAGTTTTCTCCTCACTATGACATCATCATGTTTTTCCACATACATCTTTTATCTCAGTTCTAAACCTTGTCACCTGGGAGAACACAGTATCATTGTGGAAGTTTCCCAGTTCTTTATTTTGAAATTCTTTGGAAGACAGGTCACTATTTTTATCATCAGAATGAAGAAGACTTGAATTTGAGATACACATTATTAAAGTTACCTGACAAGAAAGATGTATAACATTGTATCCATAAATATATACATTTAAACAAGAGTCATGATGAATTATTTGTATTTGAAATATTCATATTAATTATTCATTAAATAAAAATTGTGTTCTTATATTTGGACTGAATGAAGAAAATTGTTCTGAACATATGAAGCTTTTACTTTTCATTTAAAATAGATGGTGTCAAATCTTGAATTCACTAACTGTGTCAAACTGTTGCAAATCAAGCTGTAAATGCTTAATTTACATAATTAGGGTGTCAAACATCCTATCTAACGCAAAATGTATAGATGCTAAGAACTTTCATTAGCTCCTGTTATCAGACATCATAAAACTGAATGAAAAGGCAACTATGGTATCTTAATCCTTTCAGTTTCCCTGATTATGTGTAATATCAGTGCATATTAGATAAAGCGTTTAATTGCATGTTGCTCATTAGTGGCTAAGAAAACAATGAAGACATTTTGATAGACTAATAAAGCATTAATTTGTATGCATGTAGTGTACTTTATGTCTTACTTTCCACAAATGCTAAGAAATTTCACCCTTGGATCTTCCTATAGATGCTTTCAAAAAAGTAATTGAACATTTTGGAAGGCTGGATATTGTGGTTAATAATGCTGGAGTGAACAATGAGAAGGACTGGGAAAGCACTATACAAACTAACTTGGTAAGCATTATCTCCTTTCACATGTTCATATTTAAAGCTGGAATACTCTTAACAGCCTTGGCTTGTACAGATTGTGCCATATGACAGAGCATTAATCATCAGATTGGTAAGCACAGCTATTGAAACAATAACCTTGTAACTGTATGTGTACTAACCAAAGAAAGGGTGTGTGGTGGGTCCTTTAAACTATCCGAGACATTCAGCACTGCATAGAAGTACTCAGGCTATCTATCACCAGAAAACATTCTCTTTCTATAAAACACAATGAAATTCTAAAGAGGACTAACAGTCGACTGCCAAAGCAGTAGAGCTGCATCCACAGTAGGCCCAGTCTGTTTATATGAAGGTTTTAGAACATTTTAGTTACTTGTGAGATTCAGCTGGCCTGCATTAGAAGATAAGTTGCCATTTGCCATTCAACCAAGAGCTCCACATTTTCTTCACCAACAAAGCAACCATATAATCTGAGCCATTTCACCATCATCACTGGTAGAAGTACACTTCTTAAGAGCACTTACTTGTTAAAACCCAGTACATTCAATGAGCTTGTAAAATTCATTTTCGAACAGACTATTACCAGTTCTTTGATATAAGAACCACAATATCTGTTTCTCAATTGAATTTTTTTTTAATTTAGAGTATATTACTGGGACATCTAAGCTCCAAAGGAAAGACCAACTTTCTAGGTTAAAAAAAATTCTCACCAGCTAGTATTCTATCACCTGTGAAGTCCTAATTCAATGGTGATTCAACAAGTCACCCCATGATCATACTTACTGCAAAGAAAGTAGCAAAAGGAAGATTTGAAGAGTGAAATGTGAAGATTTCTCATTTGGAGTTTGTCATGCAACAAGAAAGCTCAGAATAAGAAAATTGAGTTTGTTTTTGTCAAAAATTTTAAGGACCAAAGTACCTGTCTTTGAATCCTTATGCCTCCATGAAAACAAACTAACAAAACAACCCCAGGACAAGTAAGACAAACTGTATATGAGACAAGTTACAGAAAAATTAATGTCAAAATAGGTATTTGGGAAAAAAAATTAGATTTCATACCACCCTTCTCTTGACCTTTTATATCTGTCTATTCTTCACATATTCTTCAAGGTTTAAGTACATATATTTCTTCCTCCTTCTCTAATTTCTACAATGTGCTGAAAAATCAAACATCAGGAAACTTCATATTGTGAAGTAACACTACTCTGTCCTCCTCAGTGATATGCAACACCAATATCAATTAATACCAATCCCTTGAATTTCATAGAAGACTTTATCTGTGTTCTAGACAACTTATTTCTCTCTATTTTTGTGCCTGGTTTTAACACAGGATATAAGTTACTGTAGGCATCCACTCACCTGTCAAACTTGCAAACACAGATAGTCATCACTAGAAAAACTGAAGTCCATGTCAGAAACATATTTGACTGTCACCCACCTTACAGTTTAGCTCAAAAACTAAAGGCACTTCTGACCATGAAATCTTGAGGATATTTACTGTCCAGGTAAATAATGTGGTGTCTTAATAATTTTTCAGTGACAAGAGTTTCAAACAGAAGACACTGAGAACCTCCTTCTGCTGTTTTGCAGACGACACCAAGTTGGGTGGGAGTGTTGATCTGCTGGAGGGTCTCTACAGAGGGATCTGGACAGGCTGAATAGATGGACCAAAGCCAAGTGTCTGGGGTGCAATAAGCCAAAATGCCTAATCCTGCACTTTGTTCTCAACAATCCCATGTAGAATTGCAGGCTGCAGGAAGCATGGCTAGAAAGTAGCCCAATGGAAAAGGACCTGGGGGTGTTGGTTGACAGCCAACTGGTTGAACGTGAGCCAGCAGTGTGTCCAGGTGGCCAAGAAGGCCAAAAGGCATCCTGGCTTTTACCAGAAATGGTGTGGCTGGCAGGAGCAGGGCAGCGACTCTCTCTCTGTATTTGGCACTAGTGAGGCTGCACATCAAATTCCATATTCAGTTTGAGCCCCTCAGTACCAGAAAGACATTGAGGTATTGGAGAATGTCTGAAGAAGGGCAGCTAAGCTGGTAAAGGGTCTTATAAGGAGCAGCTAAGGGAGCTGGGGTTGTTTGGCCTGGAGGAAAGGAGTCTCAGGGGAGACCTTATCACTCTCTAAAACCACGTGAAAGGAGGTTGTAATGAGGTGAGGGTCAGCCTCTTCTTCCACTTTAGTGATAGGATGAGGAAATGGTTTGAAGTTGTGCCAGAGGAGGTTAGACTGGATCTCAGGAAACATTTCTTTACCAAAAGGGTTGTCAAGTATTGGAGCAGGCTGCCTAGGGAAGTGGTTGAGTCACCATCTCTGGAGGTATTTAAAAGACCTATAGATAGGGTGCTTGGGGTCATAGTTTAGTGGTGACCTTGGCAATGCTGGGTTATCAGTTGGATTTGATGTTCTTAAAGGTCTTTTCCAACCTAAACAATTCTAAGATGCTATTCTTTTTTTTTCTTATTACAAGTGATTGAGCAAAAGCAGACCCTAGGTGAGTTTTTTGCTTCTTGTTGAAAGGAGCAAAATATGTCTAAAATACAGGTTTTAAAAATGTCTCTATTTCCCTGATGTAGGATATTTTAAGTATTCTTTGTATTATTCCTAAGAACAATTGCTACAGTCACACATTGTGATACACATAATACACACATTTTTTATTTTAAAAAGGGAAAATAAGCCCTCTACATTCCACTTGTTGTCTTAGTGATATCATTTATATATTGAAATGACAAATATTCCCTGCCCCAGTTTAAAGTACAAAGTACAAAAGTAGAGCAGTACAGAGCAAGATAAATCAGAACAAACACATCTGGGGTGTGTTCTTTATGGCTAAAACAGTTCACAGAACTGGTTGGTCTTCAGGAATATTTTTAAAGGAGTGTAAGGAAGTTCTCCGCTAGTACTGCTTGAGAAAGCACGAAGAACAGAAATGAAGAAGCAATTTCAAAAACTGGGACTTAATTTGTAAGGAAAAGAAGGAATAAAACACAATTCCTACTTGTATCCATTAGAGTTTCTGAGAGCAAGAAAAGACAACTTGATAAAGGTGGGGATGGGGAGTAGAAGGAGTATCAACTGCTAAAAAGGTATTTCTCTTGCAGTGTTTTCCACCATTTTGCTCCATTTTGTGCTAAACATCCATATTTTCATTACTTTATAAATATTTCTGTTACTTTCTTTTGTTAAGTATTCCAGAAATGCCATCTATTCATCACCTCAAAACTCCAAAGCTCACAGTGTGGACTTGATCAATATCAGCTTAATCAACAACCACTTCAACTGCTCATACTCATACGAGTGTTCACTCTTGTTACTATGGTGCAAAAAAAAAATCCATACAGGAATTCCACTTTAAACAGATACTCCCAGTGTAGTTTAACAGTTCACCACACACACACATACTAATGTACAGAATAGCACAGGGGCATGTGATATGTACGTTCTTACCAAGAGTCCTACCTACAGCCCTCCAGCATAAGAATAGTGTTTATCGCATTCAACTTCGTATGAACTTTTACTTTAGGGATCCAAAAATTATATAATCTGACTTTTTTCTCTTCAAATCCCTAACACATCTTTATGAGCCTTGAAAATATATGTTAGTTAAACACAATTGGGTATTCTAAGAAATTTTGATAATTTTAGCTTTTGTTGATGATGTAGGCTTTCTGGAACCACTGTAATTAGAGTGGCCACTATGACTACAGTATCTTTTCTCTGTACAAATGCACTTAGCAAATTTTATACTAAAGACAATCCCCCAAATTACTTGCAGATTCCCTTTTTATGTTCATGTCAGAGGTTTCTGAAAACTGACATAGCTTGCAGTACACAGTTCAATGTAGCTAGACTAGTATCACATTTTCTTGCATTTCAAATATTACCTTAAACAAAAATTCAGAAGCACTTTATGTGACATATGGACTACCTTCTTGTTTTATTCTGCCAAAAAAATTAATTTTGTAGATATATTTAAGCCAATTTCCCAAATGTAATTAAACAGATTTATGAAAAAATTTGAACGCAAAATCACAACTATCTCCTGTTTTTGTGATGATTTTGCATACTTTAACACATTCTGGCAAAACTTTAAATTGCAGGCCAGAAATTGGGCACATCAAAAAAAACCCAGTCACGTGGGATCCAATTATTTAAGCGTTCCCCAGAAAGAAGTAGAATGCAAATGCGTTACTAGACAAAATGTAGCAATGCCCAACAATTCCAAGTTTTTATGTTTTTTATGGGTTTGCATAATTTATTTCCATAAATGAGAGAGGTAACAATTTTCCTAAATTTAGAAAAGTTACTAAAAGACGTCTACCAAATTCATGGTTTGTCCCTGCAAAATATTTGGATTGGAACTATAGAGAAGATAATGCAACACTGTATATTTATGTGTGACTCCTTTCAGTATAGCTCACGGTGCAATAAATGTTCCAGTAATTAGCAAACCTTGCAAAATCAGTTTGCTCATCAGTAAGGAAATATTCCTCAAAAGGGTAGTTAATGTCTTGGCAGAAATCAGAAGGGTAACTAAGTAAACATCAGAAGTGATTAACTGAATTTATTTTTGGGACAAAGACTTCATGATCGTCACAAGGCTGTTCCACTGTGCAAGCCATACAAAGGATCCCTTGAGAGTATGCTGCAACCTTCGTCTGGTCCATACACATTGCTTGCCTTTCCCAATGTACCAGGAGAAATGATAAGGACTGAACTTTCATCCCAAAATAATGTGACCCAGACACATAGCTGGATTCAGCAGCTGGAAATAACCACTGGATCCCACAACACAGACAAAGGCAAGCACTGTTTCTTAATGCCACCAACACAGAAACAAACCAAAACAAACAGATAAAGATAAAATGGTATATGTGACTGGTTTACCAAGCTTGCCTACTAAGACAACCAGAAATTCACTAGCTTAGTTGTCTATTCTTCAGCATAATTTTATATCAGGGGACCAAGTGTCTATGGAGAGATGCGGCCAACAAGTAAGAGA